AAGTAAATAATCAATAAATACTGAGATTTATTTATCCTATGAAATAATAGTATTGTGCACTATATTTGCCATTATTACTATTTCAAAACTCTTGAGTAATTAAATACGCAACTGCAAATCTTAGTCAAATATACGCTTTAAAAAATTACAAATTAAAACGACTATGTCTTTCAAACATGGCTGTACAAGAAATGAAAATTGCATTGCGGAAAGTTACTGTGCTATTTAAGAATTTCAGTAATACTTTAAGTTTGACCATTAAGCAAAAAGAGTGAATATTATTAATTACCCAGCATAAATTGCGGTCGTGTGTTATCCATCACTAATTCTCAGTTACAGCTTTTTTGAACAAGCTGTATATATACTTTGCCATCTGTTGAAGAGAAGACCATCTTATATTACCTCGTTTTCACTTTATGKAAAGCAATGGTTCCGATGGCTATTATCACAATGTAAACAATAGTTCTGAGATAAAAACTATCAGCGAAAATTGCCATTCGTCTGAGCCAATGGAGTCGCAGGATTCAGTTTATTTAAATATAGCATAATAAAAAAAAATTGTTTGTTGATTAATCGACTCCATGTTTTATATTAAGATGGCGATCAATCGACGTATATTTTCAATATATTTAAGCTCTAATGACCAGATTAGTGAAGATGAAAGATAGCTGAATTTAGCAATGATGGTACCGTTCTATAATGCCACTTAGCTACAAACAGCTAGATATCATGCTTTTGAACATAAGTTCTTAAGAACAATTATATTAACAAATGCATTTTTGATATTTAGGACCGMGAAAGACAGTACAACTTCACACAACATATGGCAAATGAAAAACAGAAAGCACGACCTTCAATGAGAGCTGTTTTGAAGGAGTTCTCTGAAAACACAACAGCGCACGGCATAAGCCAAATTCAYATYGCTAATAATTGGTTTTGGAGGGTCATMTGGGTACTTGCTTGTGGTGCTGGTGCTGGGATGGTGATATGGCAAAGTGCTCAACTTGTTGAAACGTATTTGAATAAGCCAACGAAGACGACAATAGAAGTCGCTTATTCACAGGTAACTTGTATGCTCTTTGTAGGACTTTAAGACCAATACTGCACTTAATTAAAAAGCCTTGTCTACATCGATGCCATTTATAGTATTTTTCGTATCGATTTGAAGACGGGGAACTATGCGAAAAAGTGCTACAAAAAYGATGAAAAAAACTTATTGTAAGTRCTTCAAGGATTTTGTGTTACTTGTTTACAAAATAAAATCATTCATTTATTATTTAGTCACAGCCCTCCATTTCACACTTTTTTAATTTGAAGTAATAACATAATAAATAATATATTAGGTTGCTTGCTTTTTTTGTTTAATTTAGTTCCACTTTTTATGAACTCTATCTTCTCCTAAACAGCGGCCACTTAATGCTGGTTTACGATGTAGAATTCAACCTAAAAAACAGCAAACAGCCAATGAATAAAATGGRGTTAATTTAYTATTTTCTTCGATTACTCTGTCTTTTACGGAATTTCTGAACACGTTTTAGTGGACGGATTTTGGGTGGATAAAATCSTAGCTCATATAAAACTCAGCCCAAAGGCTCTCGAGCAAACTAAACTTGTACACAATGCAAACATTATTATGCAAAAAATAAAAATATTTTTATTTAATCATCTTGGAATATAGCAGGGACTAGTAGAAATCTAATTAGTAAAAAGCCATGAGAAAATTTCACATGTTTTAATTGGGTTATGGCGTTTTCTCAGTACTTTGTAAAATAATGTAATGAACTTAATTCTTCAATTCTTTAAAAGTCTTAAAACGTTTTTAGTGCCCTTCAAGATATTTCCATCAGGAGGAGCCCATGGCTGACATGGGCTCCTGTTTCCATAGATTCCCTTYCGAAAACATACACTCTAAGTTTTTAGGATAAATTCGCTCGCTTTTACTTCTTTATGYAAAATTTCAAGTTCAATGTGCACTCTTTTTTTAAATTAATCAAAGGTACATTATATATATAACTTTCAATTTATTCATATGTCCAATTCGACTCCATTCTAGTGCCATTAGCACTATTATTAAGTGCCAGACTTGATGGATCCATACCTACAGCTAGCGTACAATTGACAGAACCGATGTGCTTTACGATAATAATTACCTCTTCCTCAAGAAATTTAATGTGAAATACATAATAGTAAGTTGTTTAGTTGATATTTACACATTTTATACCTCGAGAATCTGCTCTTAAGTAAGAGCAAAATCGTATTCTGATTGGTCCAAGAGCGTTCTCTACTTTCGCTGGCTAACGCATACTCTMTAGGAAGACACCTTTTCTACCTTAACAAGCTATATATAAAGATTATAGGACTATGTTTATCAGATAATCAAAGTAGAGAAGCTTGAATTTACATAGTGGGTGTTAACTTCATGCATTTTAGTTCAATTTTGTCACTTCTGTCTAAAACTTTAGACGTTTAGAAATTTATAATTCACACGACGAAGACTCGTTTTATTGCTTTCTCGTTGTTGTCTTTTTTAACAATGAGTACACTGAATGTATTGCTTCAGTTGTGTAAATATAACCCTCGTTATTTGATTAATATATAAGTATATGAATATGGACTGCCACAGACTGCCTGTGCTTGAAGATCAAATGAAGCACCTTGATTACTTCACAGTATATAATAGTATACTGTGGTTGACAATGTGTWAGATGGAAAAGAGAATAAAATGCATTTTCACGAAAGAACAAAGGCCTGAAATTAGAAATGAGATCTCATTATGTGTAAGAGTTTAAACTCAAAGTACTAATCTTTTACGCAATAAAAGACAATAGCATTTTAATTTGAATGTTTAATAAGAGAAATTAAGATTGGCATAAAGGTAGCTTACAATGGTGGGTTAGTCGGGTACCATTTTCATGTCACTTACAGTATCAACGATCAACTTGTCCTCGTCCGAATTGAGGTGTCAACCAAATGCCTTTTGCACCAGATTGAAAACACAAAAGCTTTGATTTTTAAATCTGTAGGTGTTGCTCCAGCAACTTMMRMCAAAGATGGCGGAAACAGGCTTTYAAGTATAMATCAAAGCCATGATTGGCGATTTTATGACAGGGAAAACGAGTAACAAAATATTAATTATGCATTTTCTTTACAGGCAGTTAACTTCCCAATGGTAACAGTATGCAATTTGAACACAATAAAAAGGGYCCATTTGAAGGACTTCCCAATGGTAAAGCATGTATGGGCASAGTACGACGGGATTAAAAATTCGAATAAATCTGTGAATGCGTCACAATTCATTACAAATAGYGGGATGAAAGATGCCATCAAAAAAGGTATCACGAGGCARAGCGGAGGAAAAGCTGATGAATCAAAAATGGACGATGTTACCATYGACGGAGAAGAATATGTAAAGGACAATATATTGAACCTCATTAATGGGGAGAGCAAAAATAAACTTGAGCGTGCTGGACATTCATTTGAGGAATTGATATTTCGCTGCACGTGGAATGGCTTTTCCTGTAAACAAGGGTAATAAATAACCAGTTTATCATCTCAGAAAATTGAGAATTAACTTAATTTTATATTATCTCGTTGTTAATAGTGACTTTGTGCAGTATTGGCGACARMMYTGGAACTGGAGATATGGTAACTGTTWTACATTCAATTCAGGATCAAATGAGAACGGCACTGCAMTACCAGTCATGTCAATAACTAAACCTGGACCACTGTTTGGTAATAACTTAAGTCATCAATGTCTCTAGTTGTCTTGATTTGCTAACGAGAGAACAGAGTATTCCTTTTCTGTAAGGGTGCGCCACACCCTGATATGTTGCTTTGTTTGGATCGTATGCGAACGAGTTTTCCAAGACGTCCAATACTCAATTTTCGAATTCAAAGCGAGTAACCACTGTTTTATTTGACAGCAGATTCAATTACGCAAAGAACTTACCAAACACAAAAAGAAAGCACGAGAAAATGTTGTAGTGTTGGTACAAAGCGCTAACAATTCCATTTTCCCCGAGTTGAGGCTAACCCTGTATTCCTAGAAGGCTCATGCTTTAGGTCTTGTGGGAATACAGCGTTAGTCTCAACTCGGGGAAAATGCAAATTTTTAATACCATTGTAATAAGGACATTTTCTTGTGCTCTCTTTTGTGTTTGGTCAGGTCTTTGCGCAAGAGAATCTGTTGTCAAATAAAGCAGCGGTATTCGATATGAACTCGCAACTGGAGTATTCCACGCTGATCCAAAGTCAGCACGGTCAATCGATATTCTATATAATCAGTTCATTATATCTTAACAGGTTTAAGTTTAGATCTATTCGTCAACCAGGATGAATATTTTGGTGTTTTGAGCCAAGAAGCCGGAGTAAARATTCTACTGACAGACCAAAACCAAATTCCCTTCCCSACCACCCAAGGGTTCACAGTTGCACCTGGGTCCTCGTCATCTGTTGGTGTCAGAAAGGTGAGCTCGCCAAATGGTCAATCCTTTTATTAAATACACATTATAACAATTATGCTTGATATTGTTTATAGTATATTATCGAGCGTATCGATCCGTTTAATAATGGAAGCTGTTATTCAGGCGATGCGCCCGAAGACGACTCAATATACAAAGAAATGAAGGGAACCAAGTATTCAGTACAGGTCAGCTGCTCACGCGCAATATCATCAACTGTAAATGAACGCCATTTTGTGCAGTAAAGCATGACGGTAGTTGCAGTCCTCGCACATTTTTAACCCTAAAATGCTCTGAAACGATGGTTAAGTTGTTGTTTTTTTTCGCTTTTTGTAAGCCAAGACGTCGGTGGCCGAGATTTCTTAGCATAAACATTTTTACTATGAAACGTTTGTTTTTCAGGGATGCATGAATTCGTGCCTTGCAAAGGAACAAACAAAACGCTGTTCTTGCACAGAAGGAAAGTTCCGATCACAAAAAGAAGAAAACATCTGCATGAATAAGACACAAGGTAATTCACAATATAAAAAAATGTCAATTATGTTACGTGATGGCGGAATTCCACGTGTCGAATACAATGCTAAATAAGATGATGACGGAAGTATGAAAACGTTGATGTGATTTTTAGGCATTTTGCATGAAATCGTCGCGTATGGCACTAAACCCACCATGTTGGATATAAAATAMAAAGATGCATGGATGTTAAAAACAAAGAAAAGTCAAGTTTGACGGGCTGCGTCCCTTTTGTATTTAAGGTTGCTTATATTCTTTTCATTCTTTCTTTCATCCGGTATGTCGGATTTAGTTTCATGGGAAAGGCCTATTACTCCTTCACTGGAAAAAATCGCGCGCTTTAAAGGTTTACAGAATGTTGGTCACTTACATCATATTTACATCAAATTTACAACCTTTACAGCGCGCGAATTTTTCCAGTGCTTCTCGATAGATAGGCAGAATAAGTGTAATCTCACCAACCCAAATGAGTGTGAATAATATATATAATGATGATGATCTTATTTATTTATATTTTCATTTTTAAAGTTGAATGCAGGATCGATGTTATAAAAGCCTACCAAAATAACACATTGGGCTGCACAGACAAATGTCCCCAAGCGTGTTAGTAAGTATTGTCGAAACTGAGAACATGGAGCAGACTGATATTAGGCATACATTTAATAACTGAATATATAACCGTGGGGCCAAAAGTAGCTCAATGAACACACACAAAAAATCGCATAAAAATTATAAGCTGTTTAAGTGAGTGCAGTAATTGCTAAGGTCTCACAGTTCCCGAATAAACCAATCCCGCATTCCATTCGATGAACACGAAACAATGGCTTCATTTCGAGGCTGGAGCGTTATCTTTTGTCGAAATCTGTAGCCTCAAAATGAAGCCATTGTTTCGTGTTCATCTTAGCGAATGCGAGATTGGTCTATTGTATAAAGCTGCTCAATTTTAAGGGGACTACTCCATGAGATGGTTATACGAAGGGCGAATAGCGCTGTTCACCGATTAAATCCTTATCCAGCGGATAAAATTTGTACAAAATGTACATAGTTTAAGTGGCTGTTCTAAGAGTACGGAACCTTTGGGTTTTGGGTGCTAGTGTAGGCCTATAAAATGGATGATCGTTTTTTTTATCGTAATAGCCACTCTTCTTACAGAGTAAGTGTCTCGACGGCCCAATGGTCGGATGCTTATGAGGTGAGTATTTTTTCCAAGGAAAGAGTAATATGGATTTCTTCCTCTATGTATAATCATTTAAGGCTATGCCGAYTGCTTAATCCTCAAAATACCGTTTGCCAAAATGTTTGCACTAAAACGTACATTTCTGATTGCACTACAGAAAGATTTCTTAAGGAAAATCGAGAAATCAGATCGTGGCAAACATAACAAGAAACTTGGAAAAGATAGTTCTGAAATGAAGTAAGTGATTATGTCGTAAMTTTAAAGTTTGACCAAAATAGTCAAAATACGTCGATGAAACATTCAATTTCTACAACAACCTTTCCTGGATGCGGCTAGTTTTCAATGCTCTTTAATCCMACCACTACACCAAATCACGGCGCTTTAATTACTTTCTGGCCAATTAGTGTGCTCAATTTTTATATGTAATAGGACTCCATGCTGTCCAATTAAGAAATAATTGGACGAGGAAAATTCCGAGGACTGCCAAAAATTGGACGAGGCCGTGGCCGAGTCCAATTTGGCAGTCAGAGGAATTTTTCGAGTCTAATTATTTCTTAATTGGACAGCATGGAGTCTTATTACCTATTAATTATATAGCCACATATTGATCCCAAATAGGTAAAAGCCAACCACAGCTTTTAACAAAAACCCAATTGAAAACCTGTCCAATTAATTTCTTAATTGGACAGGATTCCAAAATTAACGAAAAATCCAGCTTTTACCTATTTGGGATTAATATGTGGCTATATAATTACAAGCGAAATGGCAGCGAAAAATGAGTTGAATTGAATATTCAAGTATCTGCACGTCAGCCCACCATTCTTATTTTAGAAAATAATTCCTTACTTTGTACTGAGTCAATGCTATGCTATTTATTAATAATGATATTTTATGTTAACAGGAAAAACTTCCTTCGGGTCAAAATCTACTTCGAAGAACTAAATCTTGAGAAAATTACATACTCAAGATCATATCAGGTAATTGAGTCTTCTTAAAAAACAACCAAAGAATAAGCGATGTTTTTAAATCATAATTTCAGATCATTATCAAATTAGTTGAGTTGAACAATGGTTTTCGTCACATATCGAGTGTTACAGCTCGATCAATGCCTTTCGTATCAAAGCACATATTATCCGTGCGATTGAAAACCAACTCATGRTAYGGAGGCCATTTTGGYAGGGGGTATACTACTCTCAAAAGTGTTTTAACATTCRTATTCAACCCATTGCAGTAAAAGATAGAGCAAGTAAAGTAGCGATAGAGTAAGAACTTAATAAAATAAATATTAATATAAAAGCTCATATTTTGACAATTGCCGGCCATGATAATATGTGGCCTCAAACTGACAAAGAAATAGAAATTGACAAAAAATTAACGTAAGATAAATTTTATAATTTGTAACCTGTGAAAATGGCCTCCGTATTGTCAAATGGTCAATCGAAATGCTCAACTACAGCTTTTAACTTTTTTTRAATTCTTGACAGATCGAGGACCTTTTGTCAGACATTGGTGGTCAGCTTGGCTTGTGGATTGGCATATCGGCACTGACTTGTTTTGAAATCATAAAACTGATTCTAGACTTAACAAAGTGTTTGGTTAGAAAGTTTTTCTGGATGAACCAAMAAAGAGAAGTTGGAACTGACAGCATTCCAATGTGAAGGCGATCAAGAGAACCAGATAAACTGAGATATCTATCTAATTTACAATCAGCTGACATAAAAAACAACGACAACAAACAAACGGACAGACAGACAGACAGACAGACAGACAAAAAAATGAATAAAAAAAAACAAAAATATCGAAAAACAACGAAAAGAACGAAAAAAATTAAAAACGCAAAATATACACCGATGATATAGGAAATTTTAATTTCCTTTAAAAAAAAATCATTAACTAAACAATTAAAAAAACATTGACTATAAACAATTTGATCTGAAAAAAGCAAGAGCTGTTTGTAAACAGATACCAAAAAAAAAGAAAATTGCCGACTCACAAATAAATGATCAAAAAGGAAAATTACGTACACTGACACTTAAACAAATCAAATCAGAAGAAAATATTTTATTTTGACAAGTAAATAATAAAGGATATTTGTCTAAAAGAGTGTATTACGGGTACAAGATGAAAATAAGTGTATATATAGCTAATAAGCTTACAAAACTAGAGGAAACATTGTTCTCTATATTCTATTTGTTTGCTAGCTAATAGTGAAGGATGGAACTTTTATGGCATTGAGTATCTCAAAAGTAGAATTAGTTTGAAAAATAAAATATCCCATCATGAAAACTTTACGTCTTAATTAGTCAATAAACAAAACCAAATAATTGAACCAACAAAGCAATGGAACAAGCAACCAACCAACAAACTATTCAACTAACCAACAAACAACCAACCAACAAACTATTCAACTAACCAACAAACAACCAACCAACAAACTATTCAACTAACCAACAAACAACCAACCAACAAACTATTCAACTAACCAACAAACAACCAACCAACAAACTATTCAACTAACCAACAAACAACCAACCAACAAACTATTCAACTAACCAACAAACTATTCAACTAACCAACAAACAACCAACCAACAAACTATTCAACTAACCAACAAACTATTCAACTAACCAACAAACAACCAACCAACAAACTATTCAACTAACCAACAAACTATTCAACTAACCAACAAACAACCAACCAACAAACTATTCAACTAACCAACAAAC